TCCCGTCTTCATCCAGTAATACGTAGAGGGCTCAGGCTGTTGTGGTAATACTTGGTGTATCTTGTAAATTTCCTCCTTAAATGTTGACTCATATCCTTTTTTCAAAAAGTGTTTTGTCGATGGCTACTCGTACTGTGTCACCTACGCTGTACTTTGGCTTTCTGCTTTCCCAATAATAATTCTGCATATAGTCGATTGAATATTTGCAGAGAAATTGGACCTTCGTCCTCATTAGGCGTGACTTTATGCGAAGAATGAATTGCGTTGTTGTAACTGTTTACCAAATCTCCCAGAACGTCCCAGTACACTTTAGACTGTCGGTGTCGAAACAATTTCCATATTCGTTTCTTGAGATTGCGTATGCCATTTCAGCTAAGGATGCTTTGATTGCTTTATTTTCAGAAGAGAACAAAAAAAACCTTTTAGGCTGTCAAAACTCTTAACGTCCTTATTGTAAAATTCAAGACCTTTGTCCGTTTGCAATTTAATGGGAGCTCCGAGTTCTGCAACACCTTTTCCAACCCAAGTTTTACTTCTAGACCGCTTTTATTCTTTAGTAGTTGACAGCTCACTTTCTTGCTGAAGACGTCGATCAAACAATATCCAACGGTATCCTTTGTTCTGCTTCGCATATTTTGACATGTCTGCCAGATCGGCTTGATATTGCTCCACAGGTTTGAGACAACTACGGGGTTTCTTTTGAACCTTTTTGCGTCGAGATTTGTGGACTGTATATGGATCCAGATGCTCAGCTGTTCCCGCGTTTGTTGATAGTTTGGTGCTTGTGGAAAGTGGCTGCGAAACTTTTGAATCCCTGTTAAGCTGCCCGGGTGCTGAGGTTCAGATACGCTTGTCGTAGCAGTAGATTGGCCATCGTATTCGTCGTCGCTACTGCTTGATCCATCGCAACAGCTAGATGTGCAGTTCCATGTCATACCTTCACCCAAAGACAAAGAAAGGGAACGCATCCACCACCACTCATTTGTTATTAATAGTCATCCAGTTGAACTGGGATTTGGTTCTTGAACCGATGGGACCTTCGATTTGTAAAGTGTTTTCATCAAATACTTCTCGCTTTGCACGCTTGCGTTTTGCCGGGGGTGCAGGTGGAATAGGAGGGAAAGCATCTAACATACGATCAGGCATATTAGGGGGTACCCACGGCTTCTTTAATAGTTGTACTGGAATGGGGGGCACAGATGCTGGAGGCGGAATAACCATTTGGTCAGGGCCGAACGCCGACTCTTTCAGCGCCAAAAAGCGAGCCAAGTTTCTTGATAACAGTTCCGCTTTCTCCCATTCGCTTAGCGTATTCCGTGAAATTATATCTCTCATCAAATCGTCCAGTTTACAATATCCAACTGCAGTGGGCTGCTGTTGTAATTGGACATCCGTTACAATACGACCAACAAATGTCACTTGCAAGTCTTTCATTTCGCTCGCGGGAACAATATAATGCACTTCGGTTTCATTTCAGTAAGGCAGTTCCCAAAACAGCTGCCAATACAGGTAGAACCGCAGGTAAGAATCCTCCGCGCTGTAATAAAATTTCCCTCTTGCTTCGTAAAGGATATTTTTGAGGGCAATCAGCTTTAATGGTCGACGCCAACGCTGACACACCTTTAGCTGATCGGTGGTAAGAGGCACTGAATTCTTTACCAAATTCAAACAAATTTCTTCAAAACAGCGAAGTTGTCGTTTCGAAATATTTTCCAAAAGAAAACGACGCTGCTTGGGTTTCAGCGATCGCAGGGTAAGGAGAAACGGTGCAAAGTCTTTTAAAATCTGATCACACATTCTTGGGCAAGGTTGTCGTATGTGGATTAATGTAAATTTTAGTCAACTCTCCCGGTAATATTGCTGAACAGAATCCTTAAATAGGCAGGTGTGTCCGGTTTCATATCCAGAATGAGAGGTTGAAATGGCCGACTTCCTCGTAAGCTCCGCTGAGATGTTTTAAACCAGTCTGCCTTTCTAGAATCTTGATTTGGTTCACATCACGATTATTTTTGAACAGTATAAGATATTGTGCATTAAGATGCACGTCTCATAGCAGACCCTTGTTTATATAGGTTATTGAATAATAGAAATACACAAAGCCGTTTATGGTGTACTTTTTTGAGTGAAGTTTAGCCAAATGCTCATTTTTCACCAAACCACTTGCCACGTCATCCAGTATCAACAAAATATTTTGTTTACCATCAAAATAATTTTCATCCTCCACAATTTGTTGAATATTTTTGTCAGTTCAATCCAAGGGACTTTGCGCTGAAGCACTTCGTAGGCTGGCTGCATTTCTCCGTACACCAAAATAATTCGTCCAAATGGTTGGTCAAATAATTTATCGCGCTCCATAATTAATTTTGACACATATGTCGTTTTCCCCGAAGTCGTTGGCCCCACAACAAGGACTGAAGCGGGTAGTCGGAATCTCAAATCAGCTGTCGTGCGCGGATACCTATTTAAGTCCATTTCCAAAGGGCGGAGCTATTGCTAGCGTACCGATAACAGAATGGAGACTTCAAAGCGGAGGGTTGTCTTAGATATTGATTGGTTTATCGCTGGCTCCCAACGGCTTATAAAACAGCTGGCATTTTGTGATTGCCCAACTAGTGTTAGCAGGTGCTACACATTCACCATTCCATCCCACTTTAATCCTTACCGCGTTGAATTTAGGAGCCAATCGCGTCACTCACACGGACTTGTCTGGCATAATCGTGGAGACTATTTATACTTGGACATCGCCAGGGCGATTCAGGATATGCTGGAGCTTATTGGTGAACGACCTGCGCGTTTGACGTTTTTGTAAAGTTGGAAAAGCAAAAGATTTTGGAAAATTATTTGCCTGAAGTGTTTAATCTTGAAGACATTGGGTGCCCGAAGTTTAAGGAGCTTACTTCATTACCACAAACAACGCTTTCAAAAGCGGAGACATTTGCAAATTGGCTGAATGGCGAAAATAACTAACGTTGTTGCAACTGCTGACCTTGGCTGCGCAATTGACTTACCCAGCTTATCCGAACGCGCTCCGCTTGCTCATTATGCACCACATAAATTTTCCGGGCTTCTTCTCCGTTCCATTCGTCCTTACAAATCGCACTGCCAAGTGTACCGCAACGGCAAGATCACAGTTAATGGTGCAAAGTCCATCAGTGATGCTCTCGCGTTATTGGATCACTATTACCGGAAACTGCAAAATACGGCTATCAAAAGCATCGTTAAAGAATCCAAGAATTGTTAACATTGTCGCCACTTTCAATTTTGGGAAATTTCTTAGTTTAGAGAAATTATACAACTCAATAAGAGCAAAAGCTGATGCCATGTTTGAACCTGAAATATTTCCCGGCCATGCGAGTCCGGCTTTCAAGGTTGTACGGCGATGATTTTCCATTCTGGAAAAATTAATTTATTAGGTGCAAAAGATGCTGATACTCTTCATACTGCTGAAAACAGAATTGCGCCTGTTATTAGGAACCTAAATGCAGCAGTAAATAAAATTACAAAAAAAAGCTATCGTTGCATATTTCTGTTACCTGGCATTACAAAGCATTAGTGCTAAATTTATTAAGAAATGTAAAGAACGTTTACCCTTAAAAGTATCTGGTACATACTACATATACAGTGCAATACTGTACAATACATTACTCATTAATTATGATAATTAGATTTTATTACGAAATGTATTTTTTTGTTATAAAGCATTGAGCAAACATACAAGCATATAATAATAATTTTTGTAATCAGGAAACTGCGGAATCAACAAATTACGCCATACCGTTGACAAGGTGGAAAAATTCTTTGAGAAGTTCAGGCCAACTTTTCCCACTCAAACCCTCGTAGTTTATAGCAGCCCCGAAACTATGTACACATGACAAATACAGCATGGGTTACAACGTAATATAAACTAAAACACTTGCTTCACTTACTTCGTGTACAAGAAATTCATAAATTCTGCAATTAGATAATCGTTAACAGAAACGTGGCTTTGGCTCCAGTGGAAAAAAATTTTGCAACGACCCTGGCGGACTTTTTCCAGTTGATCTGCACGCACGCATAAGCATGCACGCAGTAGACTGCAAATAATTGTCAAAATTGATTACACACTACAGGCATAATGTACAGTAATAAAGAAGATAATATTCCATCGTACCTGTTAGTTTCCATGATTATATATGTATAAATAAATTGAGAATAGAGCAGCTAGTAATATCCACTGAAAAGTAATTATATTTCACTTACTATGCGTTGAAAGGCTTTGACGAGCCAGATGCGTTAAAGTGCTCCTCCATAGTGTAAAAGAATGTAAACAACTTGTTGAATCAAGCAGTGAAAGTAAACCAATATAACTGTACAGTGTACAGTAGTATCCATATAGTACAGTACCATCCATCCATCCGTACAGTACTCCAACCATTGGGCGCATGTCAAGTTTCACAATTATATATAAGCCGTGCACAATCCAGTTAAGCAATTAAACTACTCGATAAGTTGACAAATAATTTGTATATTATAAGTGCGCAGCATTACTATAAGTGTTTTCAATCAATAAGAGACGCGCATGGTATGCAGCACCATCGCTGACGAGCCAGTTGCGCTAATGTGCCAATGCCGCTCCATGCGGTAAAGAATGTAAACAACCACTTGCACGCGTGCAACACGGCTGCACAGGTAGCTGCATCTGGGCTGCGAGCATCCTTGAGGTATGCACAGCAGATGCACCAGCGTGTGTGTGTGATTATCAGTAAGTGAGTAAATTAGTTAGTGTACTTCTATACGTGTACATATGCAGTAATCATATGCTGCAGTTGTGCTGAATCATATGCTGCAGTTGGGAGCTGCAAGTACAAAAAGCACAACCGAATTGTAACTAGAAAGTCCAGCTCCCAACTCCAGTTTATGACGTAACCGACGCCATCTTATGTTTATACAGTATACTGTTTCTTCTAGTGCTGTCCGTAATTATTAAACTGTTGTAAAGTAACACCGTACTGTACGTGATATTGCAAAAATTTCACATTGGGCGCATTTCACAATTTCACATTTCATTTCATTAGTTTTTTTATGGGTATTAAACTCTCGTACAAGCGCTGTGTACTCTCGAGTCTCGACCCACGATCATGTGATCAACAATAACTGAAGTACTGTATTTATTTACGTAATTATTGTTATTAATTGGCACTTAGATACAAAATATTATTACCCTAACGGGAATATTGGAGCCAATGTATGCGTACAGCGTACTCACCACAAATAATTACTAATGCTTATACTATTCTGCAGTATTTATCACAAGCGATGCGCTGCGTGATTGTCGCTTGAAGCCTCCAGTTCTTGACGTACTCCCTGCATTTATTCAACAAAATGCCAGTTGCCAGAAGAAAATCACGTATAATCTGTTGGTCATGATGTGATTGAGTGATCAAAAATCAGCAAGAACGACAGCCTCCGTGCGCCAACCATGGAACTATGGAGTTCTCGATGGGCGATACGATAGTGCGATATACGCCTTCATCGCATGATTAATGGGAGGGAAGCGTCTATATCACACAGCATTTGTTCATGCTGGGATCACCGTGGGAGCGTTGTTCCTCCTAAATCTGAAAGGTCATAAGCCCTCCATAGATCTCAGGACCTGCATTTCTTGGCAATGTCCAAGGCAAAACTTCGTTAAAAAGTTTTAAGTAACAGTGAGCCATAATAATGACGGCCAAGACGGTGTCCGATTTTGAACAATATTTTGACAGGCTGCCAATCGTTTTCGTGCTACGCATGTGACGAGAACAAGGACCCCGCTAATTGTCAGAATCCCCCCAAAGATGTTCCTAAGGAATTGATGACATGTAAGGAAAACGTTGTCACCTGCGTCATCAGCACAGGATTGCGGAACAGAACGAATAAGGAAACTGGCGTGTCTTCGTATGGTGTGTAAACTACCGGCCACTTTCGACACTCTTAACCTTTTTGCTGTTTTATGCTCAATAATAAATAATAATCACTGCATTTTTGCGAAAAGATTTTTTATTTCAACAAAAATCAAGACAAGCTGAATTTTAATTATTAAATTTTATAAGCTGAATATTTTGTTGATAAGACAGACGATCTATCGTTTCTTCCAGTGCAGTAATAAAATTTTAATTTATATGCAATGAGAAAATAAAAATAAGAAAAATCAAATTATACAGCGGTAATTCACCCTGACACAATTTTTTTACTAATTTTTGAAAACTACAGATATAACTACCAAAATATGCCAAATGACTGAATACTCGTAATTGCTGTTATTTTATGCAGTACCTATAATGACGCGGCGATGCTCGAGGGATTACGAAGGCAAAGACGACCTCACTGCGTTCAACGCTGACGCCAAAGGTCAGCCGATGATCTGTTACATTCTGAATCGGCTGACCTTCGTGGACCGGCGCTGCGTATGCATCACGGAAAAATGCAACAGTAAAATTTGGGACGAGCTCATGGTCCTGCCAACTTTTAAGGTAACACTGAAACAAAGATTTTGTTTCCACAGTTTTTCCGTCAGTGTTGACGACGCAATTCAAGACCAAAGACAGTGGGTGCTTTGTTTTATCGTATATGACGCAAACAGACGCGTTTCTTTTCCAATTTGGTGGCTGCGATTTTGTTGTGTTCCTTTTCGCATGCTGCTTGTAGATATTATACTGGTTCGTTGAACCACGGACCGACTGGTCAGCTTTCACAATTTTTAATTGATACATTGTGTGCTGGAACTCTGCAGGAACCCCGTACGGAAGGCGACACTCCTCAAATTCAGCCGCTGGGCAATATGTCGTTGGACAAGGTGGCGGAGGCCGCTGCCGCCTGGACACCACCTCCCGACGCTACCACTCCGGGTCCAATCACACCCTCTCCTGACATGACCACCGCCAATGAAAACATGACGGTTAGCGACAACGCCAATGCAACGACTGACGCGAGCGGTGACATTAATGCTGCGAATGCTGGCGGTAATATAAATAATTCTCTCGGTTATGGTGAGACAAAACGTCTTAATTTAAATTAAAATCAAAGTGACCGAAAAGATGAGTATATTCATAATTTCGTTCAGGAACAAATTAAAAATTCGTATAAGCGAATTTTGAAGGCAATAATTTGAAAACAAGCTGGAACTGCGCTCCGGTAAAAAAGGCGCTTCAAATTCGGACTTATCTATAAGTTAACAATAATCAGCTCGCTTTTTTGCGAAATTTGAAGCGGTAACAGTGAGGAATATCTCTTGATAACTGAATTTATTTTTGCGAATGAAACTTTTTACAATAAACTGTTTAATGTAAAAATTTTTGAAAAAGCTTTATCCGGACATGGAACTTATTGTTTAGATAAAGTTAATGCAATGTATTGTTTTTGCAACAGGTGGATCTAACGCGGGATTAATTGCGGGACTAGCAGTTGGAGGGGTCAGTATATGTATATGTAAACAGTAAACACCTCGATATATTAACTGCCAAAAAAATTGCAGTATTACTAATTACTGCAGTACGGTTTTGTTATAATAACCAGAACGAACGTTATAATCAGGTTTAATCGTTTACTGAGTGTGACATTTTTATCCGGCAAGATAACTGCCGAATTCCGGGCTGTTGAAGTATAAGACTATATAACCTTTATGGGCAGGAACGGTTACCTGAAGCAAATTGCGTTTTATTGTGTAGTTGTGTTTGGCGGGTTTGGCTGGTGGCTTGTTGTGGTGGTTTAAATTCCGGAAGCCGAAGAAAAAGAAGAAGAGTGGCGACAGCGGTGGGAGCGATAATAGCGGGGAAACAGATGCTAGTGGCGGCGACGATGACGATTAAAATACTGTCAACGAGCGTTAACACTGTCCCTGAACTCTCGTATTTCCGCATGCCCTTTCTTGTGGTGGTGACCGCAAGCCATGTGACGGTAATCATGAAGAATGTGCATTTTTAATAAATGTCATTTCATTGCACTCTGATTATCAGCTTACACAACATCAGTTAGCGCTGCACCGGTTCGATGAAGTCATGGTTTATGCGCAGATTGTGCACCATTCATGTGCATGCACATACTGCATCAACATCAAGCAGGGTGTGTAATGGGCGCGGCATTTTCCGTGAACTACACTGTGGGGCACTTTTCATCCACCGCTACAGTATGCAATGCTAAAAAAATAGATAATCTAATCGAGCCGATTCACGAAATAAGGCAAAAATTTCGGTTACCATCGTTTTTGTGAGCGCAACTCAGTAAGCACTGCCAGTGATTGTAGCGATGACAATTTCAGTTAGCGAGACTGCCAGCTGGGCCTTGGCTTATGTCAATGAAGAGCCAGAATCGGTGGCAGTACGGTAACAAAGCTCCACACGCAACCTTTCGAAATACGAACTTTGGCAAGCCCTCTTTCGTACATAAATCAGCGCTTAGCCTACACGGTATTATGGCTATTACGACTGCGTAAGACTAGGGGCGACCGCTACAGCACTCCCGAAATTTTATATGCATGGTAATGAAAATGAGTGTTAACTTATTTAGCAAATTAATTAAGAAAGTCAATTGATTTTTTATTTAAATAAACCTGCACATACTGTACAAATAAATCAGTGCTATAATGTACCATAAAAATTTAATAATTACACAGGTATCTAAGTAAATACGAGTAATTAAGCAAACAGTGCGCTGTATTCGAAAATGAATGTTGCCGGGCGCTCAACGATCATCGCTGGTGCCAGAAAAAGTGCAAGCATTTTAGGTACATCCTTCTCAGCAAGCAGGTATATACAGTGTGTATTGTACTTACTGTGACATCAGCGAACTATAATAATTATTGTATTGCCCAGTAATTCGTAATATTTTTATCACATATGTGGAAGCTGTTTTACTCGAACTTGTTTGATCTTCAAATCGTATTCCATGCACTTTGTTGAAAATCATGCAGTACCTTATGAGCAACAGAAGGCATCAGAACCGCCCTTTTTTTGGATCTTGTCCGGACTATATTAAGGCAGAATATTCTGTAATCTGTATTATGCGGAAAATCGTGTGCTCGAATCATTAAAATCTTTTCGTGAATGATGAATGGCGAAGAAACAATAATTTATGATATAAGCCAAGGTCTCTATTTCACGCACTTGCGCTCTAATGTAACGTAAAAGCCTATGTTCCTTTTTGATTTATAATCGCTGCTGCAACAGTTTTTCGAGAATCTGTAATAATTATTACAAAGTATTATGAAGGCAACAAGTGGTGTTCTACCTGAGTACCTGCTGACTGCGATTACTGCCGGAGTTTGGCCATTTTTCCTGCTTATGCCAGGTGAAAAGTATTTAAAATAGAGCTGATTCTTTTCTCGTTCATGTACATACATATTTTAAAGCGTTCACTGCATTTTATTACGTACTTCAGAATTTCGCCAAGGTAATTCTGAGTTTTTATACTGCATTTAAACATACAGTTTACAAAAAAATTTTATAATTTTATCATGGCATTTTTTTTGAAAAAAGCATCGATTGAAAGAAAAAATTTTCAAATGTTTGTGTTTTTGTTGTTGTGCTCGTATAATTACGTACATTTGTAACCGACGAAAGTCGGACGATCGAATGTTGCAATGGACGGCATTTTGGGTTCATTAAGCCGACTGAAACACAATGGGAAAAAATTCCCTTACAAAGTTCTGGCAGAGCAAATTTTGTTTTGTCTTTTCGATCTACGTTTGCGTGCTCAGAGCCAGAAACTTTGGTGACCAAAGTTTGGTCGCATACGAATTATGGCCGCACTGCTTTTATTATTAATCAAAAATCAGTGCGGTGTCGGAGAGAATCGAAGCCATTTATTTTGGCAGCTGGACATGTAATCGTGTTTTTCCAAGAGTAGAAGTATATCTAATGCGGAAGATGTAAGCCGACCTAAATATACGGCCATTATTCGTGGGCCGATCAAAGTGCCCGCGGCTCGAAAACATTCAGCACATTTTAGCCGCAAACGGCAACGCCGAAAACGTTTGGTAGGAAAACCTGCGGTGAACGTTTTGTAGCCCTTTTCGTTTTCGGACATATTAGTCGGCTTGCCAGTTTAGATGCCCGCCAAACTATTGGTATTGCTCTTGCGGATGTTTTGGTCGGTTACATATTATGATTTCATTGTCAGATGTATTTATGGTATATCACAGTACACCATGCATTTTATGGTGTAGTACAGACTACAGAGTACAGCTTTAAAAGTTTTGCGTTTATTTTATGATCTTATGTTTCAGGTTTTAGCGCACTGAAATGCTCGTTTTGTCCGCAGAACACAGGTCCAAAGTTATGCCTGGATCCCAGTCTTGACACTGTAGCTACCTGTCCGCCTAACCAACAAACCTGCGTGGTTGTTTCTGGATACAGAGCTCGACCGAATTCCACGGACAAAAATGCACTGGGTAATCAGCATAATGAGCATAGTAAATATTAATGTGACATTCTATCAAATCAGTTAGACTTTAACTGCAAGCAAGTACAGGAACAAAATGGTCGTATACTCTCTTATCCACATTCAGTACTCGTACCGTCGTACGCATGCAGCGCGGCTCTCGTACAATTCACTACTATCCGGCTCTCTTACACTACACTGCGCCACATGCGTACCAATACGTAACTGGATATGGGATTATGCGACCATTAATAATTTTAGTCTTGCACTGTAGTTCAGGTTCTATGCTGCATACTAACTTTTTATACTCTAGTGCCGACAATGTATCGACAGTGTTCTGGACCTCCGTTTATACAAGGTGACGCGGAGAAATGGGCTGTGGTGCAGAGTAAAGGGAAGAAACTTCTCTGCTTTTTAATGGAACGCTCGGACTTCGGAGTAGACCCCACCTTGCCCGGGGTGCCGACAACACGTCGCTGTATCTGCGGCCATGATAGCTGCAACACCATGACGTGGGACGAAGTGATGACGCAGTTTACCATGCCGGTACGGGTATTTAACAGCGTACTATTGGTCGGTTGTAGACTTAGAGTGGGTACAAGAGCGGATACCGTTAGCAGATGCGAGGGAAAATGGTCGTATACTCTCTTAATGGAGTTTGTGTACGTAAAACCTAATCGCAAGGATACTTCACTGAAACAGCTGGACCTTCATACCCAACCGTACAGGGCCATCGCTACAGTTCACAAAAGGCTATCTAGCGGATATAGTTGGGTTCGTTGTACAAAATTTGTGCAGTAGTCGTACGTACGTGCACGGGAGTTTCCGATCTCGCGCTCTCCCTCACACAGTTTGTCTTATTTTGTGACATTCTGCAGCCGAGTGATTTGGCCTGCTATCCACATTCCAAACTGCACGCGATGTCAGTTCTTCACCAGTTCCTTATCAAGAGAATGACATTGTATATAAAAGGGGCTGACGGTTGCTTAGCTCATCACTCCCTGTACTTCCTGCCGTCAGCCGACTGGAGGTTACGTTGTGGCTAAATATGGTGCTTATGTACCGCGCCTCATTTGACCGCATGCATTGCCGCAACGCCATGCTAATACTGGTGTAACCCCTAGAGTACAGTCCTGCCTGCACATACTTTGGAGAGGGTGTTTTAAAATCCGTTCCCGCACACTCTGCAGGGTGTAAAATCATTTTACCTACAGTTTTACTTCAAATTTCTTAATCTCGCCCCGGTTTTGTGCAAGCTAGCGTTTAAAGAAGATATGAGACGATGGTTTAGAATGGTGTAAAACGTTCGATCATGAACTAGGTTGTTTCACATAGGTGAACTTCACAGCGGCTGACGTACCCAAACAAGACGTTCTGGGAAACAATGCCCTCACGGATGTTTTAGCGAAGCTCAATGCTTCCGATGTCGCTCCTCCGGGTGCCGGCATCAGTGCCGCACCAGCGGGCACGGAAGGTCCTGTTGCGGCCGTCACTTCGGCACTAGCTGCAAACGATAGCAGCCTGAATGGAAACGATACCAGTTCCGCTGGCCCAGCTGCAGGTAATGTCCAGCATGGTTCCCATAAGAGGGCTGCTATACCTCACAGCCAGGAGATTTAGATTTAATTATGGCATCACAAGGCCAAAAAAATGTAACATGACAAAGTTTTTTGATACTTCGATGTTTCCTGATACTTCGATGCATTCAGCACACTTTCACAGTGTGAATTCGTGTACCACCGGAGACACGGTGTTCTCGGCGATGTCCCACATTACCCGTAGGAAAATTACAATACCCGTAGTCTGTATTGTGAAAATGTTCGGAATGCGAAATGGGCCGAAACGTCGAAAGACGCAAACATTTTCTTATTATTACTATTTTTAATCATTTGCTTCCCCAAATTCGATGGGATCGTTCGCGTTATTTTTCTTGAAGGTGCACACCGAGTACGGTAGGTAGTTGTTCGTTATCAAACAAAAAATGTGTTAGTTGTATTAGCCTAACTGTCGCTAAGTGTACTAATGGGTTTTCAGCAAGCGGCGGATCAAACATGGGATTGATAGCTGGAGCAGTTGGTGGAGTGGTAAGGAGAGAATTGCGCCGATGGTTGCGACTATCATTTAAACCAGTGCATTTCGTTTCGTTAACAGATTGCTTTGGCTGCGCTGGCCGGCGGACTATATTACTGGTTTAAAATCCGCAAGCGGAAAGATAGTACTGGTGGCGACAGCGGAACAGCGGAAGGAGCGGTGGCAAGAGCGGCAACAGTGGAGGCACTGCGGCAAGCGAGGACGATGACGATTAAGGGACACGGTCTTGTGGTCTTTTCTCTTAATTGGAAACAGCGATTTAGTACGTCAGTGTATTGTTAAATGCAGCACCGGTGCGGTGCTTCAGAACGTTTGACCTTTTTTAGCGTGTTAAATTTGTTATTTATTTTTTAGTCAGCAAGTCAGCATCACATGACTGTAGTCTAAACATGCACGGGATTACGATGAGAGTGCCGAAATGTAAGGAAAATTGCCAGCACTTGTTATCTGTGTGCTTGCGTTGTGCACAATATTTTACATATTATTGTGTTCGCTTGCGCTTTATTGGGCAGAAGGCCGTCAACAAGATAAAAAGTAACGCTAACGCTAAAACTCAAGAGGATGTAAGTAAAAATTTACTGTTTCATTCGCTTCACAAATTAAAGTACCGTAATTACCGAATTTGCACCCCTGGGGTGTAAAAGTTCAAACGTCCTGAAGGAGGGGTGCTTATTTCGGGGGGTGGTACTATTTTTTAAACACTATTTTTGGAGGGGGCCGATATTTTTCAAACCGCTTTGCATCGTGTTCAATCAAAATTGAACGCAGTAGATACCGGTATTTATAGTTTCACAACCTAGCGAGCAGCATTCTGAAGCAGCACCACATTATTTTTGTCCGTTAACTGTTTATTCATTAAATCATTACAATTATTATATGAAGCAATTTGCGGTATGTCTATCATTTTGTAGCGCTTAACATTTAATAACGCCCCCCTGGGCGGTAAATGCGGGGGGAGGCGCTATTTTTCAAACGGGTTATGGGAGGGGGGCTTATTACGGAGGGGGGCTTTATTATGGGGGGAGGTGCAAATTCGATAATTACGGTATTTAGTATTTACTAATAATAAATTGCAAGTACTGGTAGGCAGTTCTAGGCTACTACTTCTGTACTTCATTAATTTTTACATCATTCAGCGAATCAGCACATGCATGACGCACGATGCGGTATGTTTGAATTGTGCCTACTTGTGTACTACGTACGGATCGATCGAACACTACCACAACCGAATAATACTACTTGGCTGTGATAGCACTGTAACTGACTGCACAAACACTCACTCATGAGTTCATAACTGCAGTACTTAAATGATTTCGGAAAAGTTATCACTTACATATTTCTGACGCGCAAGACCCTGTAAAGTTACGCAGGTTTTATCTGACGTATTTTTCTGTGCCGCTACTGCTATAAAAATTTTGCGCTATGGCCACAATAAAGCCCCACATTACCGTCATTACGAGTATTTGATTCTTTGCAGTAATTATAATCAACGCTGTCCTGTGCTGAAGATCTGTTTCCATTGTCGAGCACAGAAATGCACTCACAAAACTTTAACTAATGTGAATAATGCCTGTCTTGTATACGCCTTGCTGGTGCTAAATCTCGCAGGCAGGATCTGTCATGGATACTCCCGATTGAGATGATTTATTTTCGTTACATTCGAACTGTATTATTGCATGTTCCGAAAAGATTATGAGTCGTTCATTCATTTGTTGATTATTTTTGGAGTTTGTGTTTTATTGCACGTTCCAGGTAAGTAACTACTTACAAAATACTAAATTTGTATAACGAAATTGAAAAACTGGGGAAACTTGCTTAAAGTTTTATCGAGCTTTAAAGCAGCGTCACGCCCCTTATACTCGTATTATGTCAGTCACACAGTTTCACTTTTTGGATCTGTAGTGAAAAGCGAAGCCAAAATTGGCCAAAAAGTATTACAGTTCAAATCGAACACAGATTCACAATAATTTATCAGCTATACAACTTATTTAAGTAGTGTGTGCATTCATCCATTTTATCATTTTCAACAAAATGTTTATTTAGCAATCGAACTGGTCACAATGTGTTTCTGAAAAATTAAATTAAAGCCGAAAGAAACAATTCGTGAATAAAGTTTTTTTCAGTTTTGACTTCTGTGAATGGATTTAAATCGCACATTTTCTTGCCAGCTGCAAAATCCTCTATCACCACCTTTTCTTGTAGATTCCGCATCGGTAACATGCAACACGTGCCTCGACGACCCCCACGAGCCCACGAAATGCCTGAGTGGCAGCGCCGATACAGTGGAGAAGTGCTTCGACAACATGACCACCTGCGTAGTCTTCGCGGGTTTCCGGAGAAAACCACCCGACAACACTTCATTCCGTAAACGATCTGCACGCCTCGCTTTTTCCCGACTAACTTTAACAAGTCGTTTCGTGTAGGGCCAGTGATGTTCCGCCGCTGCCCAGAATTCAGCTTCGTCCTACCGGATTTCAATAATTTCAATATCGGACGGAATCGCCTTCCGAGTAAACCCAGTTTCCTCTGCTTTCTTATGGATGAGTACTAGCAGGGAGTCGGCGAGGGCATCAGCATGGTGGATCGGCGGTGCGTGTGCAACGAGGATTATTGCAATAATAAAACATGGGACGAGATCATGACGGAGTTCACTTTGCCGGTAGGTGAATATTTCTTCAAAAGAAAATCGGTTGGCAGCGTTTGTATGACCGATGGAAATATTTCTGTATGATATCCTTAGCAGATTTTTTTAATATGGCTATCTGTATGCATGTGTGTAGAAAGACTTTGAGAGGAACAGAACAGCAGTACCAATAAAAAATCCCTTAGGCAACAACTCTTTATCGCATGTCGTGCAAGCACTGAATCCCAGTCAAGCGCCGGACGGAAATGGTTCGCAGCCAGTTGAAGGTAGCTTTGGTGTGACGGCGGTGACTAAGCCCAGTGGCAACGACATGAACAGCGATGCAGCCTCTGCAGGTTCAGCAACAAAAGGCGAAGGTAATTCATTTTATAATATTTACTTATGACATGCCACTGCAACCACACCAAATGCGCATTGGTAAATTTAATGATTGATGCATTTCGTAATTAACAGCTTTGTACACAGTAGATAATTGTAGTACAGTGTATTATTTTGTGCCAAATAATCTGATTCTCCTATATGTTCAACGTACGTGACACTTTTTGGACGCGCTGGATCCAGCACGGGATTAATTGTGGGAATAGCGGCAGGAGTGGTGCGTATATGATTAATTACGTAGAATACGCAAGTAATCTTAATTTTTAATTACGCAGATTTATATAATAATTATAAAAATAATAATGTAATAGTGTTATCATTGTAGTTTCCGGTTGGGGGTAGTCAGTATTGTGATGTGCTCGGCAGTGTGATCGTACACACTGGAAGGCGTGCCAAGAAACACACCGAGCGTCGAACATTTATTCCTGCTAAATAACGCTTAGAACAGTAAATTTGCTGCACCGATCTTTTTCCAGGTGATTCTGGCGGTCGTGGCTGGTGGATTGTGGTACTGGTTTAAAGTGCGCAAGCGAAAAGATAGCACAAGTGGCAAAAGTGGTAACAGTGCCCGTAGTGGCAGTACTGCCAATAGTCAAGACACGGATGCCAGCGAAGAAGAACAATGTAAACGAGGCGAAGGTCAAGCTGAAACTCCGAACACCGCTGTTGTTGTGTGGCACAACACGGCTGTTTTTAAATTTTTAAAATTATCTACCTTCACTGTTATCTCTTTACGATAAGTACAATGGGTGGATGTTAAGCAGTGTA